GGTTGTTAATTCAGAAGTAATACCAGTAGGCGGCGTCGCAAGAGAAGTCCCTTTAAAAGTTGGTGATTGGCAAGGATCATGTGATTTTATGGCAGTCCCTCTCGATGATTTCCAGGTAATCCTTGGACTGAAATTCCTTACAAAGACAAAGGTGTCTGTTATGCTACATTTACAGGGGATGTTCGTGATGGACATGCCCAATCCTTGCTTTGTTCCCCTCACGAAGGCCAAGTTTTGGGGGAAAATATTGTCTGCCTTGTAAGTAAAAGATGGTTTGCGGAGAGGCTAAGTCCCTGAACTCGTGCAACAGTTGCTGGTTGAGTTCAAGGATGTGGCACCTAAAGAATTACCAGCAAGATTACCGCCAAGACAGGAGATTGACCATGCCATTGAGTTGATTCCAGGGATAAAAATCCCTGCCCAGGCTCCTTATCGAATGTCTCCATTAGAATTGGCGGAGCTAAGGAGACAACTTGGGGGTTTATTGGACATTGGGTTCATTCAACCTTCCAAGGCACCCTATGGAGCCACTGTTCTGTTTCAGAAAAAAAAAAGACGGATCCTTACGGCTTTGTGTAGACTACAGAGTCCTCAACAAAGTCACTGTCAAGAACAACTATCCAGTGCCGCTTGTTGACGAATTATTTGATAGATTGGAAAAGGCGATTTTCTTCACTAAGATGGATTTGCGGCTGGGATATCATCAAGTCAGAATTGTAGAGGAAAATGAGGCAAAGACTGCTTGTATGACAAGGTATGGATCATATGAGTTTTTAGTCATGCCTTTCGGCTTAACCAACGCCCTTGCTATATTCTGTAACTTGATGACCAACGTATTTCGGGAATACTTGGACCGTTTCATGATGATTTATTTAGACGACATAATTGTTTACAACCAGACTCTTGATGAGCATGTTGAGCATCTTAGGCTGGCCTTGACAAAGTTGAGGAAAACCCAGTTGTATGTGAAACCAGAAAAATGTGAGTTTGCTCAGAAGGAAATTTCATTCCTTGGGCATATTATTTCTGCGGGCGTGGTGAAGATGGACCCGAAGAAAGTTGAGGCCATTGCAGATTGGCCTGTCCCTACTAAGGTTACTGAACTGCGTTCTTTCCTTGGTTTGACAAACTATTATCGAAAATTTGTGAAAAACTATTCAAAGAAGGTCGCGGTGCTGACTGATCTTCTAAGGAAGGATAGGACATGAAACTGGTCCTACGAATGCCAGGAGGCATTCGATCGATTGAAGGCGGTGGTGACGTCTAGTCTAATTTTACAGTTACTCGACTTTGATTTGCCTTTTGAAGTTCATACAGACACATCAGACTTTGTTCTTGTTGGGATGCTGGTGTAAAATGGGCATCCGGTGGTATTTGAAAGTAGGAAGTTGAATGATAACGAGAGGCGATATTCAGTGCATGAGAAGGAGATGACAACAGTCATTCACTGTATTAATGCATGGAGGCATTACTTGTTGGGGAAGCATTTCCTTGTACTGATAGATAATGTGGCTACCAGTTGCTTCAATTCCATGAAGAAGCTGACACCAAAACAAGTAAGATGGCAGGACTTTCTTGCCCAGTTTCATTTCACGTTACAGTACAAGCCTGGTAGTGCAAATCAGGTTGTTGATGCTCTTAGTCGAATCCCAGTTGCTGATGGGACGGTTGCTGCACTTAGCCAAATTGCAGGAGACATGCTGCAGAGAATTTAGGATCAGACAAAAGATGATCCAGTGACCAACTTATTGTTGAAGCAGGTTCACGAAGGGGTGACTCTGCGGTTTTGGGTAGAGGATGGTGTTCTCTACGCCAGAGAAAGGAGACCCTATGTTCCGAAATAAGGCGGACTTCGACAGATGTTGCTGAAAGAAACTCATGATGCTTTGTGGTCCGGACATCCAGGGCAGCAACGGACTCTTGCCTTGCTAACAGAAAGCTATTATTGGCCCCGCATGGAAGCATATGTGGAGCTGTATGTGTGCACTTGTTTAGTGTGCCAGTAGGACAAGATAGAAAGGAAGAAGGTGGCGGGTACATTGGAACCCCTCCCTATTCCAAGCAGACCTTTGGAGAGTGTGTCCATGGACTTCATTAATGGCTTGTCTCAGGTGAACGATTTTACTTTGATATTTGTGATTGTAGACAGATTTTTGAAGTATGCCACTTTCATTGCTGCCCCAAAAGTATGTACGGCGAAAGTTACTGCTCAGTTGTTTCTCAAGCATATTGTGAAGCTTTGGGGTCTTCCGCTGGACATAGTCAGCGACAAGGACACTCGGTTTACTGGCCGATTCTGGACGGCATTATTTGAACTGCTGTGCACACAGCTCAACCTTTCCACCAGCAATCATCCACAGACAGATGGGCAGACTGAGCGGGTTAATGCAATGCTGGAAAAATATTTCAGACACTATGTCACAACGAACCAGGACAATTGGGTGGATTTACTTGATGTAGCCCAATTCAGTTATAACCTCCAACAGAGCTCTTCTATTGGAATGAGCCCATTTGAGTTGGCAACTGGCCAACAGCCTCTTACCCCGCATGAAGTTGTCAAGCAGAAGTCTCAAGGGAGATGTCCTGCAGCATACCGCTTTGCTTGGGCCAATCAGGAGCGCACCGACAAGGCAAAAGACTGTTTAACTAAGGCGGTGAAGATGATGAAAAAGTGAACAGATGAGAAGAGGAGGGCAGTAGAGTTCGAAGTGGGTGACAAAGTGATGCTGAAATTGACCCCACCAATCTGGAACAAGATCTCTCGAAAGTCTGCAAACAAGGGACTAATCCAGCGCTATGACGGCCCTTTCCTTATAACAATGAGGATTGGTAGGTTGGCCTATAGGCTGGATCTTCCCAGTCGTCTCAAGCTTCATCCAATTTTCCATGTTGCCTTCTTGAAGCCTTATATTGAGGACCCGGAGGACCCTAACAGAAACGTTCGGCATCGGACTCCTCCAACAATCAGAAAGCAATTCACAGAAATAGCTGAAGCTATCCTTGACCATAAGACTGAGGGAATGATAAAGAAAAATAGAAGAACTCATTACCTAGTCAAGTGGAAAGAGAAAGCGCCGGAAGAAGCCCTTGGGAGAAAGAGAGGTGAACGATTTTACTTTGATATTTGTGATTGTAGACAGATTTTTGAAGTATGCCACTTTCATTGCTGCCCCAAAAGTATGTACGGCGAAAGTTACTGCTCAGTTGTTTCTCAAGCATATTGTGAAGCTTTGGGGTCTTCCGCTGGACATAGTCAGCGACAAGGACACTCGGTTTACTGGCCAATTCTGGACGGCCTTATTTGAACTGTTGTGCACACAGCTCAACCTTTCCACCAGCAATCATCCACAGACAGATGGGCAGACTGAGCGGGTTAATGCAATGCTGGAAGAATATTTCAGACACTATGTCACAACGAACCAGGACAATTAGGTGAATTTACTTGATGTAGCCCAATTCAGTTATAACCTCCAACAGAGCTCTTCCACTGGAATGAGCCCATTTGAGTTGACAACTGACCAACAGCCTCTTACCCCGCATGAAGTTGTCAAGCAGAAGTCTCAAGGGAGATGTCCTGCAGCATACCGCTTTGCTTGGGCCAATCAGGAGCGCACCGACAAGGCAAAAGACTGTTTAACTAAGGCGGTGAAGATGATGAAAAAGTGGACAGATGAGAAGAGGAGAGCAGTAGAGTTCGAAGTGGGTGACAAAGTGATGCTGAAATTGACCCCACCAATCTGGAACAAGATCTCTCGAAATTCTGCAAACAAGGGACTAATCCAGCGCTATGACGGCCCTTTCCTTATAACAATGAGGATTGGTAGGTTGGCCTATAGGCTGTCGTCTCAAGCTTCATCCAATTTTCCATTTTGCCTTCTTGAAGCCTTATATTGAGGACCCGGAGGACCATAACAGAAACGTTCGGCATCGGACTCCTCCAACAATCAGGAAGCAATTCACAGAAATAGCTGAAGCTATCCTTGACCATAAGACTGAGGGAATGATAAAGAAAAACAGAAGAACTCATTACCTAGTCAAGTGGAAAGAGAAAGCGCCGGAAGAAGCCACTTGGAAGAAAGAGACGACATTGTGGCAATTCGAGAATCTCATCGAGCAATATCATGCCTCCATTCCAACGAGATCGTTGGATACTTCAGGTGGGGGTGGCTTGTCACACCCTATCTGACTTGGGTGCAAATGGCCGGTCTTGGTGACACCTTGCACCAAGGCATGCCATAAGTTGGAGTCAAGGTGACGCGACTAAGTAGTTCGACAGATTGAGGTGAACCAAGGCAGCATGAGAACACCCGGTTGAGCATGGCAGTGCGGTGGGCTCAATTGAAGCAATGTGGGTGCATAGTTTCGGATTGCATGGCATGGGTTGAACCCAACATGCACATTGGTTCGTAAAACAAGGCTGACTACTGAATGTGGGCACATGACTGCTCAATGCATGTGACCAGGAGGATGTTGACAGTTACAGATGCTGAGACACAGTCAAGGCAGTTGCTGAGATAGTTCTAGCCGTCCCTAGTCTGAATCCAGTCCAGATGCATGCTGATAAAGGGCAGTTCCACATCAGTTACTGAAAGGGGTGGAACTGTCAGCCAGGTGTCGCCAGAAACCAAGCCTGCTAGCCAAGTATCCTATGGAATTGCAAAAATGTGTGTAACTACCCCTTGGCAAATGAGAGTGTCATCTGTCTTACTCTTGTATAAATAAGGGTGCTTGAGCATTCTGATGGGGGGAGTATTCTGACTTTGAGAGTTCTTTGTAAATTGTTGAATTCAATATATAACGTTTAAGAGTTTTGCCCTCGTAAATTAGTGTGTGCCTTCTATTTGAGTTTTTGTCCCTTATTCTTGAGTTTGAGTGTGACCGGTTGCAATAGCGACGCCTTCGCTGGTAGTCGCGAAAGAAAAACAAAAATTAGCCCGGGACAATAAAAGTGTCTTATCAAACAAAAAATCCAGAAATCTCTGAGAGAGTAATGGACTGACCTCAGCAACAGGAGTGAACCACCTGAAGCGGAACCTGGGAGTAGTTATGGTTCCATTAGGCAAGTCATGAGACTCAGACTCAGACTCAGAATCGGTGATCCGAGTCAAGTAACACGTTTCAGAGATATTGAACTCGCGAGCAACTGCTTGCAACCACTCCTCGTCTCTGTCCTCCTCCAACAAACACACCGCCACCGGGTTTCCCTTGAACGGCGAGTCGGTGAACGCGTCCACCTGTTCCACAACACAAATCTACTTCCAGTAAATACTTTCTAAAACAGAAGCAAGTGTTAAGTATGTGTGGGGCTGGGGGTTGTGATTTACACATATAGAGAGAGAGAGAGAGAGAGAGAGAGAGAGAAATGCGAACAGAACTGTGGCGACTGTGGAGAAGACTTCGCTTATTTGTTAGGGCAAATAGCAGTTTTCACCCCGGAAGATTAAAAATTCAATTTACACTCTCAAGGATTAATTATTTTAAATTATACCCTCAATTAAATTAATTAGTAGCAATGTGACTCCAATCATAGCATTCTTTGCAAAATCTGACCCCAATCATAGAGTTCGTTGTGATTATCATCAATTTTCAGTCATGTTAGATGCACATGATGACTTTTATTATATTATGACACTTCCCTTTTGTCATGTGCATTTCACGTACTTGATAATCCAATAAATATTGCCATGAACATTATGGATAAGATTAAAATTTTCGTCAAATTGACCTTTCTCTTTTTTATGTACGTCTCAAATAGTTGTCAATTTCATAAAAATCACAACTGACGTTATGATAGGTCTTAAATAATTGTCAATTTCATAAAAATCACAATTGACGTTATGATAGGTCAAATAAGTAATCTTTAAGAATATAAATTAAGATTTTTTAAATCTTTTTGGGATACAAACTACCATTTTCCCTAGTAGTTATTACAAAATCTATTTAAAAGAATTATACCTAATAAGTTTTTCACTTAATTATTTAATTCCTTGATATTTAAAATATTATACATAAATTTCTTAAAATTTATAGGCGCATAATACTTAGACTTGTCATCAATGCCCGTTAAAATATTTATTAGTAAATTACACGTAAACCTTTTGTAGTTTGTATATATGTAATATTTAGATCTCTCAATTTTAAAATATTATACTTAGACACAAAATACTGCAATAAAAGATAGAATATCAAATATTTTAAATTTTACAACTAAAATTCATATTTTATATGTTATCTCTTACAATAAACTAAAAAAATAAATAAAAAATTAAACTATAATAGACAAAATATCTTCTATATTTAATTAGGATAGTTTGATCGTTTAATAGATATATTCAGATCATTCAAGTTTAAAATATTATACTTAGAAAATAAATACTTTAATTAAAATAGATTATCAAATATTTTAAATTTTACAACCAAAATTTATATTATATTATGTTATTTAATGATATAAAAAAAAAAATTATTTTTATTTAAAAAATCATAATTAGTATACAATTATACTATCTATTACAATAAAATCAAAAAAATAAATAAATGTCAAATTGTAATTGACACAATATCTTCTATTTTTAATCAGGATAGTTTTGTCGTTTAATGGATACTATAATTGTATACTAATTTTTTTATTTTAATTAGATTTTTATTTTTGATTTATTTTAATAAATAACATAATAGAACATGAATTTCGATTATAAAATTTAAAATATTTGATATTCTATATTTGATTGGATTATTTTTTGTCAAAATATAATATTTTAAACATGAAAAGTCTAAGTATTACAAGTCTATAAACTTGTCTAAGTATAATTTACTAACAGATATTCTAACTACATTGAAGATAAAGGTTTAAGTGTTATGCACGTACAAACATCTCAAAGGTCTGTGTATAATATCTCAAATATTAAGGTGGATTAAGTGATTAATTAACAAATTTTAGAATACCTGAGTGTAATTATTCCAATCTATTTTGTCCTCATGTTGTGTTTGGCAAGCTGGATCGCACGTTTCTAATCGGGAGCTAGGCTATTCTTGAACGGGTTCAAGAGAACCGAGTTTGTCTTTCCGCACCCGACTTGATCCTATTAATCCGCCAATTATTGTGAATTGTGATTGTGGCTTGTCAATTTAGAAAAATTAAAAACCTCTGGATAATTTTCCTGTGAATAAGTTTGGCAAGCAGCACATAGAATAATTTTGATATAATTTAAACATAAATTAAAACTCGTTACATATTTGAACTGTGTGATACACCAAAAACTACCAATATTACTTTTTATATTCAATGATAAAGTAATAAACTACGTTCTTAGAATGGACAATTTGCCCACTTGGACAGGCAATACAGTTACAACAAATAAATAAGCAATTGCCGAGTTCATTTGGTCAATGAACTATCATTGCAAGTGCTCAGAGGTTAACTAACTGAATAATGTACAACCACACGGTCAGATTACATAAAGATAATGAACACGGTGGAATATATAATACATGGACCAGATTTCTGGACAATCGAACTACCAGATCCCTTCCTTCGTCATCTTAAGGAAATGGCAAAGGGTGATGTTTGGAAGCTCAACCGAACCCGATTTCTTCTTCCTTATCCTTGTCATCTTCAAGGATTTTGTGCCCTTCGATTGACTGACTGTTACCGAGACCAAGTTGTAGAACTGTTGAGAGGCAGTTTTAGAAATATGTTAGATACTTAAAGGAAAATAATGCAGGCATTTTGTCTATTGTAAATGGAAAAGTAGGAAACTTGTGTTTTTTGGCGTGACTACGATAAGAAATCAGTAGATGAATTTTTCGTAATTACTTACTAAATGTAACCTCAGAACAAACAATATAGCTCGAAACCCCTATACTGGTCTAAATTTTGAGTCGATTCACCCAAAAAGAGGGGTAAATATACCTCACAAACCCCGTGCAGCAACAACCTATGAAAAGGATCTTGAACCTGTAGCACAAGAACATCTCCATCTCCACTCTCCTCAACAAATGCCCGTATGCATTCCTAGTTGCAAAAAACACATTGCTTTTGTCGGTCATGCAAATTCTATCAAAATTACAAGAGTATATTTACAAACTAGTGACTAGTGGCAAGAACTTCAACTTTCTACAAGAAGGTTTTTAGCCTCAAGCTTTGATTACGATTACTAGAGTAGTATGTATAATTTGTTAATAGTAAGAGGGTGTATGTGTAATTATTGTTATTGTAGGTTAACTATAAATACGAGTAATGTATGAGAGCTAGGTTAAGTTTTTAACCTCTCTTCTTCTCTTTAATATTGCCTTTAATATTGTGTTATGTTAATTCTCTCAACTTAACATGGTATCAGAGCATTAATCATGGTGTTGTTACTGTTGGTGTGGTGTTGTTGTCATTGGTATAGTCGACGTTGGTGGTGTCGACTCAATCTGGTTTCCTTTTTTTTTGATTCGTGGTAGTGCAGTCGACTAGTACAATCGTTGGTGGCGACTGTCTTCGTGGTGGTGTAGTCAACTGTCTTCGTGTGGTGGTCTGGTTCGGTGGTGTTCAACAATGAAGGCATAAGGTTTGGTAGAAACCCTAACCAGCGAAGGAGAAGACCCTGTTCAAGTGGGTCAGTTTATGGGTTTGGGTAAAGGATCCAAACCCAGAACCAGATCCTGATCCAAGATCCAGACCGGTCCAAGTTCGGTTCAGTCTGGTTCAATCAATTTCAGTTCGGTTCAGTGCTTCAATGGGTATCTCTAGTCTGGTTCAGCTCTCAAGTGGGCTTCTTTAGTTCGGTTCAGCTTTCAAGTCAGGCTATTCTTCCTTGTTTAGTGGTCCAGTGGGTATTTCTGGTCCGGTTCAGCCCTCAAGTGGGCTTCTCTAGTCCGGTTCACTTGACCACTATGTATTCTGGTACAAGTAATTTTACCCGTGCGTATGAGGTGTGCAAGGAGTACTTCCGGTTAGAGCAGGGTACTCTGAGCCTTGCGGATTATTACTTTCATGTTCGGGGAGTCTGTGAGGAGATGAAGACCTACCATCCTTTTACTACTGATGCAGCAGTTTAACAGAAGCAACATGAGGACCTGAATGTTGTTAGATTTTTAGTAGGATTGAAACCTAAATATGAGGCTATTCATTCTCAGATTTTGGGTGGTTCTAGTCTTCCATCTCTGCTTGAGGTTTTCTCTCGTTTACAGCGTGCTACACTGTCTACTCCTTCAGGCATTGATCATGGTGTCTCCACTGATCGCTCAGCTCTATCACAAATTCTAATAGATCATCAAATTTGGTGTGTAAAATCAAAAGTTAAAGCAATCATCAATGTTATAAAGTAGTTCACAATTTCAGTACAATGACAACGGTGTCGGCAAGTGCATCCATGTACTTTTCAATATAATCGAGCAGGCAGGGAAAGAGATGCCATCTACTTTTCATAGAAAATGAAGAATTTTATCAAGGTGAATGGAGAGAGTAAAAGTACATGGGAGGACAAGGAATCCTCTATTCATCGGATACAAGATGTACCTCATATCCATTAATCAGTTCTGGGAGAAAGCTACGGCGAAATGCTTCCCTTGTTCTACAACCCACTCTATGCCAAGCAGTCAATACAGCCACTTTATCAGCATCCACAGGATTTTTCCTCTTTGATGAAGACCCTTCAAGGGCTTTAATCATGGTAACCTACCAGAAAAAAAAGAAAAAGATGAGAAGGGTTGCAGCATGTCGCCACATCATATGCCATTATACCAGAAGCAATAGAGGTGGATGATATGTGCTGCCACACTAAGAAGACAAGAAGGGAAACAAAATTTATTGAAACAAAAAGTAAGCACCAATTCACTTGAATATCACATCTAAAGGATAATGGAAGGAGATATAAATGCATACGTAAATAAGCATGACATGAAACTGCCTCATCAGACGAACAATTTTATCAGTATAACACAATGCACTACAGTGGAACTATAGTCAACAGCCTCAAACCCATAATCCCCCCCCCCCCGACCCTGAGGTAGCTTCACCCATAATTGTTGCCATATATCAAAAAGGAATAACCACTTTGCATTATCTAGGTCCCAATTGCTAAATGCTATGCATATCACAAAGTAATACTTCTAGTAAACCTTCCTAAAAAAGAAAGTAATACCTAATCCCCAAAAATAGATCACAAATAAACAAAATAACATGTAATGGGATGAACATCTTTCAGGCTCGAGCAATCTAGGTGCTACCTCACATCATCATTCATGTATAATTAAATTCACACTTTTTACACACACAGCCAATAAAGACAACCAAAAAAATTGCCAGAAAACAAAGCAGATGGAAGCAGCTACGTAGTAACAGTAAAGACTAAGTAATCATGTACACTTCCTTTCAGTTCATACATGACATCCAAGGTCATATATTTTTCAAACCGAAGATCGTTGCAGTACTAGTTTCAAGAATTTCTTTCATTTCCCTGAAAGAATTTCAAGAATTCAAACGTGGTTTGATAAATTAAGAGAAGCAAAAAACCTCTTTATCCATGTCTACATTCCTAAATTTGTCCCACTCCCCCACATTTGCCATGCAAAATGGTGACAACGGCACATCATCACCTGTAACATGAACCACAAACCAATAGTTCATAATGCCTGCAAAGAAGTTAGCAAAAAGGAATCTGCTGCAAGCATGTAGTGGAGTTGAAAGGGGGGAAAGTAACAAGGAGTGATCGTATAATATTACGGCCATGAAGGAAGGAAACCCTAAGATGAATAGGAAGTTCGAATCAATTTTGTGCTCAGCGACACATCCAACCTATCTGAGGATCGATTTTAAGAATTGCCAATCTGCAGTAACATAAACTTTTCAGTTTTTCACTTTATATTATCGACCAATCTTCACCAGACTGAGTAATTTTCTGAAATATTTGTTATTTTCAGACTTTATATTTAATTCAAAAATGAATTTGAAAAAGCTTACAACAAAATAGAAGGTCAGGGTGTACTATTTTTTGAAATTTCTTTTGCTAGATGTTTCATATAGTATAATATCTTATTATTTAGATTTCTGTAAGACTGTTTCCTGTGATATGTCTTACCAAATGGAGGTGGAGCAAAAAGCCTCTAATTCTTCTGCATTCAAACGAGGTACAAGTTCCATCAACAGACGATCATTTAACCACCTACGAGTTCGCCGATTGCTAACCTGAAACAATAATAAAAATCTTAGATGCAACCACCAGCACAGTAGGGTCTGGACTACACTGGACCTCCCAGCCCCACAAAAACAACAAAACACACCACAAAAAAACAACCACCCAACAAAAAATATGTAAAGATTTTGTCACCAGAAACAAAGGCTGCCAGAATTTTATAAACAAACCACAGGGTACTCCTAGTGATCCAATCATCCCAGTGACAATACGGAATATAAAAAAAGGTTGCATGAGTATATGACTGATCAAATCACATAATGATCCTATTATCATTCTGTAAAGGTTTGCAACTCCCTCAGCTCCAGCAACATATTGCACAATGTGCTTCTAGCAAATGTGTTATTCAATAAAAAAGACTAATAGTTTTGCATTCCCAATGTCTACAATAGACATACAGGCCGTAGATATATTGGGATAGGAGAGTGAAACAGAGATTCAGAAAGAAAAAAAAAAGAAATTGGTTTCATGCAAATTATAATTAAAACAGGTAGCACCCTAGTCAACCACTACGAAACTGAAAATCAGGATATAGTCTAACAAACAATTAGTCACTTAAAAATTTAGTGCCAAGCTTGATTTGCCAGAGACAACTGCTAATCACACCCACTGTCGGTCAAATCCGACTGGCATGATCAGAAATCATCCAAGCAAGCAACAAGTAACACCCCAGAACGAACTTTATTTTGATGAGTAAAGCCCTAGAATGAAACATAAAAACAAAA